TATATATACTTGTCTTTAATAATAAGTCATCACTGCTGTAGTACTGTGGAACTTCACAGGTCTAGACTACCTATTGACTAGCAGGCATATTTACTGACCAGATACATCAGCAATAGTGTCCAGTAATAGTTTTACAACAGTTTTGCTTCTAACTTAATTTGTTTCCGTATAACTCATATGCTAAAGGTTTATTTGATATTATCCCCTATAGTCTAAAATTCCTTACAAACAGCCCAGTTATTTAATAATTTTGAAGAAATCTCAGGTATTGGATGGGAGCATCACATATTTTTGGAACTTTACTGCCCATTTCTTGTTAATGTTTATGTCAATTTAGAAATATAAAATTTTTCATTTTATTTTCAGTAATTTCCAATTAGTATATGGGCACTGCTTTGCATGTGAGTAATCGATGCTCTGTCTCAAACAACTAAATGTTGTTTTTTTCCTACTGTTTATATAATCGAAGACATACTGCATCTGCCAGAGAATTTACCATTTTTGAGTATGTTATTATTCAAAGAGGCCATCTGGATCCGATTTCTCAAGACTAAGTACCAGAATGTTAAGTTATTACAGAATACTTCCAAAGTACAAATGCAGGAAAGCAGTCACAGTCTTCAAGCAATGTGCTATGAGGATTGTTGAGCAATGATGGCCCTCGAGCACTTGACCTATGACTTTCCATAAAAATAAGAGAATGGAACAAGCTTATATGCTCCAGCTTCTGGTGCTGCTATAATGTTCAGATGACCAATTTTACCTTTATCTAAACACCATGACTATGCCTCAGATATGACTTGTGATCTATTATTGAAAACAGCAAAGTGCTTTCCATTATTGTACTGGAAAATTTTATAGCAGAACAGAAAGCATCTGAAGTGTCAAGATATTATATCGCATGTTCTAATAGGATCAGAAGAGACAGGAAAATGAGAACACAGACAGAAGATATTCATAGTTGTTAAGGATAGAAGGAAGACCAGATAACTGACGACATATAGAATTCATTTTACAATACTGCATTGTGTGTGGGCAGACCATTTTCTTCTAATTAAACCAAAGCAAATTATTGTCAGGCATCCAAATGTCATTATTTCACTTACCTCTGTAGCAGTGCTCTGATTGGCCCCATTTTCCAGCAAATATTTCACAACTTCAATGTGATTCTCTTGAGCAGCCATGTAGAGAGGGGTAAATCCATTCTGAAAGCAAAAACAAAGAGAACATGGAGACTACAATTTCAGAAAAACTTAATTTTCCTATATGCAGTTCAATCATTGTCCACAGAATCATTACTGAATTTGAAAATGTTCCCCATAGGAGTTAGCAAATTGTCGAACAATTAAATCAAAAGATAGATTTAAATATTTAGAATTTGATCCAGAGAATGCTTGCACTTGCACCTTTAAAGAGTCTGTGTCAATGGGCTATTGAATCAGAACCTCTTTCTAGTTATTGACACTAAGCCAGTTGTGACAAGAAAAGAGTGGATGCTAACCCAGAAAAGGTATTCAATCTAATTATGGTTGGTTTGTGTCACAAAGGGGAAAGCCTAGAGTCTGGTTTGGAGCTTGAGGTCAGTGTGTGGTTTGCGCCCCTCTCCTGGCTGGTAAGCCCATTTTTTTGTTGGACTGTGCTGAAAATACGTTGTACATTTGTTGTGATAAAGAAAAGTCCTTCTTTTGTTAAAAATTCATTTGTTATTGTTAAATCTTTGAAATAAAATGGACTTCATTTAGGTGCAAGCAGTATTTTGAGTGTCTCCGGTAAATCCGAATTCCCCAGAATATCATATTTTATATATAATCAGTATATTATCACACTAGATTACATTTTAATATTGTGTAGAGGATTTTAAGAATCAGAAATAGATGTAATTTGTTCTCCTGAGCTTGTGTTATTATCATGTACAGTGTTCCTTACAAATGCAATGTATGATCTGTGCTTCAGCACCTGCCTCGGAGCAAAGTCTCAAACATTTTTACTGAAGAGGTGCCAACTTTGGTGTTCCAAACATGCACCTGCCTTTTAAACACTGAAATAAGATACGGAACTTCTATGACCGACTGTAAAACAGAACAACAGTAAAGACTATAAGCTGCAATGGGAAGTGTTTACTACAATGTAAGTTCCCAAAATATTTTACTTATTGCCTCAAGGATCAAATTCTCCTATGCATACCATTCATTTGTAAAGGGAATGCACATCGTATTTCTATCTATGCTACAGTCTATTGAAAAGAAACTCCAGAGATGTATCTGGGGAGTTCTACTAATACACCTGCTAAAATACTTTTAAAGTCTGAATTATACTTTTTTTGTAAGCCGGGAAATTTGATACTGAACTTCTTAAGCACTTCAGAAGAGGCAATATGTATATATTTTAATTGGTTGTGATTTTAATTACTTCTTCTCCCCAAAACAAGATACTCATTAAATAAAAGCCTAGTAGCTTCAGAACATCCCATATGAAATGGGTTACAGACTTGTATCCACTGAAAGAGATGGGGTGTTTTGGACCAGGCTCTGTTAGTAAGAGCTGATTACTGAGTGCACTAGGCCTAAATCTGGTCAATTGCAGTAACAAAAAAGAAGAGCTAAGACTATAGAAAGGGAGCTTGTTACTGCAATGTTGATCAGCCTGCATATCTATTTCTGTGATTTCAGCTAGGCTTTAAAAAGAAGGTAGCAGAGTATTCATATAGAAATAACCTTTAATACCCAATATATACTATGTGCTAAACTAAGTTTTATAAAAATGTGCCTATGGCCCAGGTCATCCTATTCCGTGTGGCATAGGATTAGTAACTTGAAGATTTTATATTTCTTTGTATTACAACTGCAATTAATTATTGTCATCCTAGAAGTGATAATTACTGTATTGCCTATGCTTTTCACATGTATAATATATACATACTGTTTATAATGGCAAACCAAATGTACACTGTTAACTCCCTTGTACGATTCCTTCTTCAAGCAAGAACACCAGAACCACCAATTTATCTGATGTGACTATTATGACCTCACAATAAATCACAAACTACACATTTTGCAATTTTGGAATGCTGGTAACTTTAAGGTGCCATCCTTTTGGTCACTATAAGCTCCTACATATTTAATGCCTGTTATACACTGTAGTTATTGCAGATGAGCCAAAGGATTGCCCCAACTGATCCAGGCTGTGACAGAAATAAAGGTCAGTTTACATAACTTGTTGCCAGCATACAGTGTGACCTAGAAGCTTTGCATTGCTGGACATTTAACTACACTTATGTCTAATTGATAAAAAAGTAAAAGCGCCCATCAAAACTCTACATGTATCAAGCTAATGCAAATTTAATTCATTATCGCCCCATGTATATGCCACATACCAAAATCCATCAAAGTAGCACCCAAACATTTCAGAGCCTCAGCTGGTCCTTTCGCCTTGTATTGGTTCTAAAACATCAGTACTCTACTTTGAAGGTCTTTGGCAACGGATGTGTATATATGCTGACTACACATTAAATAGGCAAAAAAAACCTCTAGTGTAAGATATACACAGTGTAGACAAATATAAAGGACCTTCATGTAAACATTAAAAATGCATTTATAAAGAAAGAAAGAACATTGTTATCTCACATGATCTGCTTTTAAGCAGGGAATACAGATACCACTTCCTCGGAAAATAGAAATTTGTATGAATAAATGGCTCATGTACCAAGTTCTGATTGGTCACTAATTATAGTTAACAAGAAGATTGTAAGAGAATGATATAGCTTTTTTCTTTACTGGATTAGTATATTAAAGATCATATTACTTGTAATGATCTGAAACTAGTTTATATGTTGGAATGGCTCCAGTATGTAGGTTGCACCTGCCAGAAACTAGAAATAGGATAAATGAGCATATCTGCAAAGTGCAGCTAACACATACTGTATATCGGCACAATTGAAAGGAAGAACAGTTTTACAGTAAAAAAAAAAAAAAAAAGATTGGAGATCTAGTAATACAATTAGCTTGATTTTGCAGCAGAAAACTAAATCGATGTTTAATGTTATGTCATTACATGTAAATTTGCCCTTATTTGACAGTGTAGCCCTAGACTAGAGCCTACGAGGATCATTGGGGCAATGAGATCCTGAATTGAGTAGTATTTTACCAACATATCTATTATTCAATATTCCTGTCTATGCAAAATTATATGAGAATTAAAAAAAGAAGTCCACCATAACAGCAACAGATATCATTCTGGCTGATATTATGTCCCTTTATATATGGAGACCTTTCTTTCTGGATTTGGGATCTTGGTGGTGTTCAAACAGAGCAATGGAACAGCTACGGTATCAGCGTTTGGAGTTTTTTTGAGAACCGGAACACATGCACCTGGAAGATACACCTGTAGATAATGTTTGGTGAATGCCAGATCTATTGCTTTACAAATATGGCCCTCAGTATTACGGGAGTGCTTTAGTATAGGGTATAAAATGCTGACTAGCTACATCATTAGAACTGTGGAAGCATCAAACGGAGAACTACCAACACTAAGCTCCCAGTACTAAAAACAAATGTAGCACTATACACTGGCATCATATCGCAAGATATTTTGAAAACTCACTTGTTATCTCTCGTCTTGACTATTGCAACTCCCTCCTCATTGGCCTACCACTACACAGGCTAGCCCCCCTTCAGTCTATCATGAATGCTGCTGCTAGACTCATCCACCTAACCAACTGCTCAGTGTCTGCAATCCCCCTCTGCCTATCCCTGCACTGGCTTCTAATCCCCCAAAGGATACAATTCAAAATATTAACAACCACTTACAAAGCCATCCACAACTCTGCCCCCCGGCCATATCTCCAAACCTGTCTCAAAGTATCACCCTAACTGTCCCCTCTTCTCTTCCAAAGACCTCCTGCTTTCTAGCTCCTTTGTCAACCCCTCCCATGCTCACCTCCAGGACTTCTCTAGAGTCTCCCATAACCTCTGGAACCCCTTATCCCAACCTGTCAGTCTATCTCCTACTCTGACTGACCGTAGGCAATCCCTAAAGATTCATCTCTTCAGGGAAGCCTATCCCACCTCAAACTAACCGCTGAACTATCACGTTCTCAAACAATTCATCCCCACACAGCTCCCTCCTCATGTATCACTTCCCGCCCCCTTTTAGATTGTAAGCCCTCACAGGCAGGGCCCTCCTTACTATCTTGTCTTGAATTGTATTGTGATTTTAATGTCTTCCTTATATTCTAAAGCGCTGCGCAAACTGTAGGCGCTATATAAATCCTGTATAATAATAATAAAACTGCCACATACATTTGACAGCTGTCAAGGGTATATTATGAATTTTTGTTAACATAATCATTTATGAAAAAGATGCAACATTTGTGACCACAGCGCTATTACATGACCTCAAGAAGTGTGACATTCTTATATTTATGAGTTCTATTTTTTTTATCAGTTCATTTGTCAAATTATGAGGTTCATCAATGCTGCCGCCCATCTACTTTTTTTTTCAGGAAACGACCAACCAGAATCTATTTGGCTAATGTGAAAATATTTGGTTTAAGCTACTAGTCGTCTTGAGTCTGTACATCAATCAAATGCCTCAGCTATTTGCTGAACACATGCTGAGTGTTCCCTAGGAGTAAGTCTACTCACACATGGCATGTGCGGTGTGTGCAGCTGTGGTCACTTGTAATGATGAGAGCTCCATGTCGGAGATGAAATTACCAGTGACTGAGCACCTAGCAACTGATATACACACTACCTCTTAAACATGGTGGACACTAAATAAATGTTTTATTCAGTAAGATTACACCAAATTTAAAACTGTTATGTTACAAAATTACACAAAAATGTTATAAAATGCAAGAATAGGCACGATATATGAATATGTTTAATTATCATATATCCTATTACTGAAAAACAGTTCATATATCTTGCGTGCAAAGAGCACCATCCAAAGGTAACCAATTAGATTATACATTTTGCGTCATTTCACTACAGTAGACTGTTATCTGATTGCTTGCTATGTAATGCAAGCGATATATATTCATAGAACGTTTCACTTCTCTTATAAATAAACCTGTTATTAGTTGTTCATATTCAAGGGTTTGTCCTATATCACATTTCTTTGGTTGAGTTGAAGACTTTTACTGTAATAATTCTGGTGATTCTGATGTGGATTACACTATAGGTAAATTCTGATTATTTATTTTGTC